CGATACCTCCACGCTCAGGTGATTCTCTATCGTAGGATTCTGATTTTAGCAATCAGCAGAACCAACCAACCCAGAAATAAAAATATTAGAAGTAATGAAAAAATGTCAAAAATAGTTTCAAAACTTTCTTTTAATGAAATTTTTTCACAAATCCCTCGCATTAATCGAATATGCTGAAAAGAAAATTTCAAATCATTCTTGCTAGATACGATAAAACAAGGGGGAGTACGGTCATAAGCCATTTCGCCTAAGATTCCATTCTCTTATTATTAAAATTGGAATTCGAGCGGTGATTGTCGGGATGTATCCACATGTGACTCTCTGGCGAAGAGAAAACAGTAAAATCAATGGTGCCACATATTCGCTGTAATATTACAATGATAAAATAATAATCAAAATATTTTAATAATAATTAAAATAATAAAAATAATAATTAATTAAACATAAAGATTGAAGAGCTTTCAATTTTTAAATCATTAAACTAAATTAGATTTTAAAAAAATGCGATAAAATTTTGAATTGCTTTTATTAAATTATAAATATTTGAAAAAAAAATTGATAAAATAGTTATTATAAAATAAGAAAATTAATATGGATCCAAGGGAATATTTTCTCATATTTGCTTAAAGAATATTTTAAAAAGTAAAAGCATTGAAGTGAGGAACGAAATTGCTTTATTATTCTTCATAACCACTATTGAAGCTTTTATGAAGTAAGTAAGTAAGCATCCATTGCATCCAAGAAAGCATCCAAGAAATAGGAAGTAGAAAAGGAAATTTATTTAGCATATTCTCTCAACTTTTTATCAAAAGTAGTTGAGAAAGTATTTGATGAGTGAAATTTAATTTGCAAAGAAATTAGAAAAATAATTAAAAATTCAAAATTAAATAATTAAAATTAAAATTTCAACAAATAAAAAAATTGAAATTTCCACTAAAATATTTTAATCTTTAGTTTTGTTTAATTCAAAAATTATTAATGAAAGCAAAAATTTTAAATTTTTATTTTTCTAGGAATTGTGGAATTTCAGTCCGCAATAGTTGCGGTTAAAATTGCGGAAAGAAATAAGAAGTACACGCTACCAGATTTATTCGAATTTCATTTTTAATGATAGCTTATTCAAATCAAATCAGTGAACAGTGTCGTCGAATCGTTGCCTCGGCGCTTCTTTATACATAAATTTATTACTCCAATGCAATTTATCACTTGAAAGCGATCAAAAAATAAGTCAGAATTTTGCGATAACTTCAACAACAAACCATAGTAGCGTGATAAATTGCTTTTTTTTCTCAAAAATGTTGTCAAACAACGCTACGATTATATTTTAAAATAGCATTTCGTGTCTTGAAATAAAATAATATTAATATTGCTCATTTATGTTGAGTTTTCTTGCTTTTCCGCTACAAAAGATAACGAAGCCAGTTAGGAGACTTAAAATTGATAATTATGGATATATATTAATTAATCAAAGAAAATCGGCTGGTTAGTGGCGAATAATTTTAATTATTTAAATTATTCTTATGTGCCTATGAAAATCAATTGGTACATTCAAGGGATATTCGAGGAATTTTCTCGCAAAAATCTCGTATTTTAGAAGTTAACGAACAAAGCAATCAAACCGGAAACCAGGAATTGTTTCGAAGCAATTGTTTCGTCCGAATTCCGCAAAGTAAGCAATTTTAAATTAATTCACAAATTTCAATTTTATCAAATTAAATTTTTCAAAGTTTAAATTATTTGCTAAAGTGATTTTCATTTTTTTTTAAAACGGAAATTCGATAAAAGGTTTTATCAAACGAAAATTAAAAAGGTGAGCGAATAACGTATTTAGAGAATTTAGCAATATAGGTTCGATTTTCTATCTCTGAATTTCTTCGATGAACTTTTCTAGTGAAATCGGTTAAGTCCAATGTCCTCAGGTGACTTTCTGGCGATGGTTCTCGCCTTAAATAATGTCAAAAGCTCAAAAATAAGATCACACGTGGCCGATGTAAGCTATTTGGATGGAATTGGAACTTCCTGGATAAATAAAGAAAAAGAAAGGAAATGTGACATTGTGGGAATAATAAAAATGTGTGAATTTTTGTTAATAAACGTCTTATTTTGGAAAAAAAACGATAAATTTTGGCAAAAAAATTTGAAATCGAATTCGAATTGGAACGAAAAAATTTTGCCCGAACCATATTTTAATGGTCAAAAAAATAGAAAAATACCAATTGGACCAATTTTTTAAATGAAAAATTAAAATTAACGAAAAATCAAACTAATCGAAACGAAATAATAATAAAATAAATCAGACAATTAAAATCAAATAATAATAATAAAATTAATTAATAATTTAATGCGATAAAATTTTCCTTTCTTCAGACATCTAATTTATTTAATTAAAAGTCAGTTGGCAGTGGCAATAAGAAATTCGATTCAGCAATTTCCATAAGCATTAATTTGTCGTTGCAAGGAGGAAGACGGAAAGGAAGACGAGGAAGCTTGGAAAGCAGCGAATCGTCCGAGTCCGTCTGCTTAAGAATGGTGCAATTTGTTCGAGGAAACGAAAATATAAAATTATTATTTCCCATCCATCCATCCATCCATCATTAATATTTATAATTAGTCTAATTTTGCTAATAACTAAGTGACATGAAATTATGAACGAAACCTCGGAAAAAATTTGAAGAATTTGGAAAAAATTTCAGTTAATCCACGCAGAAAAAAAACCAAAATTTCGGCGTTCACCGAGGGATTTCGAAATTTTATTTAAACTTTTTAAATTATTAATTTAAGCGATTCAACCCTAAATTAAATGGGCTATTAAAATTTTCGGAATTTAACAACAATTTTGCCATTTTCTCGATCTTTAATTTCAATACTCCATTATTATAATCCATAAAAAAGCCCCTCCCTTATGCGCGCTTAACCATTTCTTCTTTTTCCTTTCTCACCATTTCTATTGCACATTTCTGGTTTAGCAACCATTGCTGCAATGATCCTCTGATCCATCCTTCCGCCAGAGCTACTTGGGGAAAGGAAATGAGAGAGCGGCACTGCCCGAATTTCATTTATAATGCAAAGCACGATTTTATTCATTCTCATCAAGAAGTAGGGACCAAACATGGTTTCACCCTCAACTGAAGCACCATAGCACTCGGTCATCGCAACTCACTCCTTCCTGCCAAAATCTTTTAATTTTGTTTTATTCATATCAAATCAGCAAATCAGCAAATAGCATCAAAATTTATTTAAGGCCATGAAATTTTTAAAAGCATTGTTCCATAAATTCATAAATTTCCACGATTAAATGACTTTGCCATAAAGCACTAATGATTCGAGGATAAAAATAAGGATAATGAAAATATGAAAGTAACAATTAATTGCTATTTATCTACCTTATTGCCAATTTTTTGCATTCAGTCAGTACGGTTAGATTTTCGCTAAAAAATCACTTGGTGATAAAGGAATGGATGGCTCGTTATCATTATCATTCAATTTAATGATAGGCTTCACCTCTTTTACGACCAAAGTAGGAATTTAATATATTATTTTATCCAAAATTAAACAAATTTGAAGCAAATTTAAAATTCTTAATTTTCAAGCATCTTTTAATTTAATTAATGCGAAATTTTTTTTCAAATGTATTTTTCAGATGGATTATTTGCAACATTTACAATATTCAGCAAAATTATCGAATATAGAAAATATAAAATAGACCAGATAACTTTTCGAGGTGAAAGAAAGAACGATATAAATGGGTCTTCGAACAGACTCACCTTTCGCTCAGTTGAAAGTGAGGCTCTTTCACCAAAGAGACACTTAGAGACCTCAGCACCACCTTTAATGCGAAGGAAAATTAAAACAGAAAAGAAATCCATTCCATGATTTTAATTCATATACCATACCATTCGGCTGTAGAGGTGGAATTGAAATAATACGAGTCGGCACAAATACGGTGCTAATTTAATATTTATTAAAAAAGTAAAAGTATTAACGACTCTTATTAATGGTGTTATTTTTGTTACATAAAATATTCACCAATACTTTTCATTTTTTAAATTTTTGAAAAAGCGGAGATTTTCTTTAACGGATTGAGGAATTCTTGTCGAAAACATAGTTCAGAGCATGAAAAATATAAAAAAAAGCTCGAAAAAAACGATTAAACAAAGGAGAGTAAACCCATCTTTAAAACTTAATTAATTAATAAAAAACTGGACAATACTATTTAAAAAATTACACTCCCTTGAAGCTATTGTAATGCTTTTTCGCCGCAATTTATCCGAGAGATAAATAAACAAATACCATGAAATATTAATAAAGTGTTGAGTTGATATTATATTAATGTATCACTATATCCTCGCTAAGTGAAACAATTCGTTTAGTTAAAACCTTAAAAACTTCGTTGGATTTTAAAATTGCTCTAAAAAAAATTTTAGCTATTTTAGATAACAATACTTAAAGCAAAATAGAAAAAGCTTAATCACAGTGCACAGAAACGACAAAAATAAAATTTAGGTATTTTTAATAAAAAAAGAAAAAACTCGATTCAGCCGAAGATTAAGCGTATTAAATCAAGCAAAACTCGATTTCCACAAATTATTAAGAAAAGTTAGCAACACAAACCAACAAATTTTTAAAATTTATTTTCGAAGTGTAGAAGAACTTGAAAATCTACAATATAAACAGTATAATCTCTTATCAACAAGATATTTTAATAAATCAAACCAAAATAATTCAACAAAAAGTGGTGCCAATCCTCAGACGATTTCATTCTTTTTAAATGAATAAGGGGCTCAAAGAAAGGAGATAAAATTCGAAAAAATTTAACCGCATAAAAATGGCACTTACTATTATATGTATTTTCATTGACCGGCCTCACTCTCTCATAAAAATTGATGATTTAAAAATTTCCTATAATCAATTTACAAAAAATAACAATATTATTGATACATATAGAAAGCATGTAGACTTTCTTAGTTAAAAAAATTGATAAAATCAGAAAGAAAAGGAAATTAAACGCTAATGTTATGAGCGCTTAACGTTTCATGCAAACGTACAGCTTCAGTAAATTTCAAAGGCTTAAGACGATCGATTGGCAGTTGACCGCCATTTTCAACAGAAATATTTTCTTTTTTCCACTGCAGTGACGGACCTTCTACAAAAGCACTTTCTGACCGAATCATCCCAGGCTTTTCTGGTGAAGAAATAATATTGCCCACAGCAGCACCACTTGTAACGCTCATAGTTCGCGAATGAGCTTCGCGCATCGATTCTTCAACAGCAGCCTGTAAATCAGTCCAATTAAAGATGTTTATTAGTAAAATATTAAAAAATTAATCTTGTCGAATTGAAGTTTTTTCATCGATAACTCACTAGGAATTTCAAATTCAAGGAATAAAACAATTATTTTGAAAAATAGAAATTAGCAAAAAGTTTTTGGAAATTAAAAATTATAACCAATATTTATGACTAGAAAAATTACATGATATAATGCACTCTGCCGTCTCAAACTCTTAATATCTTGCTCTTCAAACAAATTGCATTTAGATCCATCAGTAGTACCACCTGGATTAAACGAATGATTGGCTGCTAATGAAATTTTGACAGATTCATTCTCATTATCCAACTTTTTAAGCTGTAATAAAACTTTCCTTTAAAATAAGACCAGAAAAAATTCTCTTGGCTATTTAAAATCAAATTATTTCCAATACTGACGGGAATAAAATAGAAAAATAGGATTTTACATACTCTTATAGGTCCTTTAGCTTTACTGGTTGCATTTACATCCGGCACATACATCGCATATGGATAACGACTATTTTTCTTTTCTATTTTTCGCTTTTGAGCAATAATCGCTTCGAAGCTGTAATAAAATTATGACTAGAATTGTAGCTTAGTTCAAGAATTATTCAAAAATTGAAATATTGTTAATAATCATTTTAAAAGCCAACATTAAATTAGCTCAAGATCGAATATTAAATTAATTTACGAAGGAAATTGACTGGAGAAGAGAGTTCTTTGAATGTTTCCCAGACAACCGACTGTAAACGGATTATACCCAGAACGAAATTTGCCCGTAACCTGAATTTAGAACAAAACTTAATAGATTGATTTGTGAGTTTAAGTTAAATGAATAATAAATCTTTCCCACAATTAACATCTTACTTATAAAGATCTCAACTGCATGTTTATCAGATATTTAATATTTAAAATGCTCAAGAATATATTAATTTGACAAAAGAACAAAATTTTCAGTTGTTATTTTTTTTTCTAAAGATTGTTGTCTAAAATGAATAATAATTTAATGATAATTTTTATAATATTTATTTCAAGGCAAAAAATTTATGGGAATACTTAAGATATGACATTGGAGCAAACCTGTTCATTTGTTGTTCTACCACGAACAACTAAAATCACATGAAAAATCGTGAGACCTACAACAGGCACGGCTAATAAGACGCATAACGCCATCAATATTATTGAACATAAATTCGGCCTAGTTAATAAGTCAGTCCTGCAAAAAATAAAACGAATTCAAGATAAAAATGAAGAAATCTTTATTTGTCAGATATTATTTAAACTTTTTCCGGATGATATTCATAAGAACAAATTAAAATTAACAAGTGCAACAAAACAAGAAATTTATTGATATAGGGAACAAAAACCTGTCGCTTAAAATGACTAAAGCTGTTTTCAAAAGATATTTTAAAATAGAAAAAACGTATAAAATTTCTAGCCAAATAATGAGAACTAACCTGTTAAGAATCGTATAAGATAGGGCCAAACAAAATACGCAAATCATATGTAAACTTAAAAAAAAAAGAAAAAAGAAAAAATATCGATAATTTCTTCGACCCACACAATTGTGCACCCATGGACAATGATGATCGAATGCATCAATGCAACTGAAAAATAAATTCAAATAATGCAATAAAACGCAAATGTTTTTTTTCCGAAATATTCCTTCTTTGTACCAAATTAATTCACATTTTATAACGCCAAAAGTGCAAATCGAAATCAAACAAAACGAAGATTTTCAATATAAATGATCTAACAGCTCACACTTTAGTATTTTAGTTACCTCCATTGCCTAAGACATTTCCAAGGTTTCTAATCTCAAGCCATATTTAAAATTGACTGAAGCCAATCATATTTCCATCGTCAAAATCCAAGTATCGCTGGGAACACAAAATTCTTTCTGACTGTATTTATACAGGGTTTAATTGGGCCTCCGCGCTATTGACACCATCCATCATAAGATTTGATATTTAAAGATATATGTATGAATTCTTCCGCAGAACGATGAAAAACATGGTCGAATCGGTGCAGACGATGTTTAGTAATGATTTACTTAATATAGATGGTATTTGATAGTAGATTGCTATCATACAAGATCTTATCTGTGAGCATAGTATACCTAGGATATTTAAGACAATGATCAAAAACAGATAGTTTTCTCATAAATTTCATCCTCATTGATCATTTTTCTCAGCCTTAATGAAGAAATGTACGCACAATAACCAGACAGAAGTAAATTTTCATTTTGAAACTAAGTTCACGGCGATTCCACAAATGGAAGAATTGCAGGAATACGGGCTGGTATTCCATCCTTCCCCTTACCAATAGATATAAAAGTGGATCTCAATTGAAATCAGATACTTCTAGAACCAATGAAGAATTTATATAGGTACAGCACCCGGTATAAGATGAAAAAAAAATTCATCATGTGTTTATGAAGATATGAAGGCCTATTTCCGGTGCTTTTATTGAAGTTTGATGCTTGTTACAAAATCTGCAGTGCTATTGCATAGCTTTTGATTGCTGACAACCAGTATTCAAAATCCATTTTATAGTTGAAAATATATGTAGAAGAACAATACGCCAGTTCGTATACCAAAAGTTCACCACAAAATTGCGCTGTTGTATGGTGGTAGAATGTCAGTAAGTCTTTTCTGTATTGCTAGCACACTGCATGATTTAGCAGAGGGCAATCGAAAGAAACGAAAGCAGTGGTAAAATCAATGAAACATGGGAAGGCAAACTGCCGAAATTTGAAGAGATCTTTCAATATGCTTCTCAGTGTGGAGATCTGGTCAACACAATCACCCCTGATCCAAATCCAGCTTTAGGCGCACTCCACTCACTGCCATAAGTTAATCAATAGAAATGGATAAAAACTTTCCCAGATATGTTCAGCAAGCCGTTTTCCATAGTCATTTTGTCACCCATTCTTTGGGATTAGAAGCAGAATTGCTTTGTTCCAATCATATGACACTTGTTCCTTATTCCATACCAGTGAGAATAATAATGAAAGTTTGCATTACGAAAGATGATGAACAATATTTGAAAAATTCAGCTCGCGAACCATCATCTCCAAGCATTTTATTGTCTTTTTATTTATCACAGACATCACGTAAGTAATCTCGTTTGTTGGTTCATCGTAAGGCACCAAAAATGCCCAAATAATAACGGGAATTTTAAATGGACCTAATTAAAATTCAACCCATTTCAATGAAATTAATAATTATCTCGTTAACAATTAATGATTAAAATATTGCAAAAAGCTCACGAGGAAAAAAATGTTGTTATATAGAAAATGAAAGTTTAAAAAGAAATTTTAATGTTGCAATAAAACCATAAAATTACCGATTACAAACGGAACAATGTGATGCGCGAGGCGGGCGATAAAATTTGCAAGTAACACACCACTTCATACGAACAGTTATTCCATTAATTTCTACATTTTTATACAAAGGTGACCGAAAATCATCCAACTGTTGCTCTTCAGAAGTTGTAGCTGAAAAAATTCGTAGAATTTGATAAATTTAAGAAAATTTAAAGGGAAAAAATGTCTTAAAGAATAAAATAAGCTTAACAAATTTAATAAAACGTGGAAATTTATCAAATTTAACCACTTTAAACAAATTTATGAATAATATGAATAAACAAATTTACCACTTTTTAGAATAAACACTTTCTTTAATGTACTCCAATTTTTTCATATCATTCACCAATTTCAGAATGATTAAAAAACACACTACAATGATGCAATGATTAAAAAAAAAATTGGAATAAAAATATAATAAAAATATTAGAACTAACCAAGTGGATGAACTCCAGGATCGAGAGTCGTTGCCATGAATAAGTTCGACATTACTAAAAGGAAAAGTATCGCATCCACAGCACACATCACATAACCCCAATAATGAAATTGTTGTATTAATGCTGGAATCAATAAATAAAAAAAGCAACCCGTACAAACGACAATTAGTGCCCATGCGACAGCTGCAGGTAATGCTTGCGAGATACTTTTACATATTTTCGATAGTGACATTCTACCATTTATCTGAAATTAATCAAACTGTAAAAAATTTTTTTTTTTTACCAGAAACGAATTTCTCAATAAAGAATTTTTAATACCATTCCAATCAAAATCTTCTTTTTTCTTTAAAAAATTGTTAAACCAATAGCACAAAACATATGAGAATAAAAGAATAATAATATATCTCATTATTTACTTTAATAATAATTTCTATTAAAAAAACAAGAAAAAAATAATTTGGAAAATTTCTGGAAAAGTAGTGGAAATACGGTTGCATTTTAAGTCTGAAAATTATTCAAAATCTAGAGAAAACTATACTATTGGATAACTATGCGATAAAAAAAATAATTCAATGGGAAATGGGAAAATAAACAAACCAGCGTGACAAGGATTAAAAGAAAAAAGTATCGCCAGTGGATGCGATGGAGATATTATAATAAAACGCTGTTATTGCGATAGCCAGAAATCAAACCTTAATGCAATAATCATCGTTCGATTAATATCCATTTTATGACATCTGAAATTAAAAATTCAGATGATTGGGAAAAAAATGCTACTAAAAACGACAAAACGACTTTACACTCGAGAAATTTTCCTAAATTTTCCATCATAAATATTGACAAATACGACATTATAGATAGAAAAATAGGAAACTTTGAAAAAAGAAATTAACCTTCCATGTTCAAATTAATATTATTTAGTTCTCATGGAAAACTATGCATTTAGTTTAATGCAGATTCATTTATAATTCAATTCTTAAGAAAATCCATAAGCACGAAAATATCAACAAGAAACAATGCGATTCTATGGGCTTACAAGAACTATAAGAACTTTTTCGTAAGGAAATATGTAAATTCTTTTTATAATAATAATTACTTGAAATAAATCATCGAGTCGTCGTCATTAACGATAATGAAAGTTAATTAACCAACTGACAAAACTAACAACATTGTTTGTATTGAAAGAGCCTTTATCAAAAGAGCCTTAAAAAAACGGAATTTCGCCATAATAAAAACAATTAAAGTGATAAAATTTTTTATTTTTTCTTTTAAATTCGAATTTTCAAATTATTAAATTGATTCTGTTAGCACACGTTTACAATGAAGAAAGTTTGCTTGAACTTTGATCCGTTGTCGCCAATTCTATGAAGTAAGTGCATTAAAACTTTAACGATTACTCTAATGTATTAGGGTAATTGAATCGATAGCTCTTAATTCACAATCTGAGGATTTCCCAGAAATCAATAAGTGGATATGACAATTCATGCAATTCTATCCCATTTCTTCATTCGAAATTATCATTTAAATTTTCTTTTCATGAAATAACTAAAAAAATAATCGCATAATAAGATTTTCTCAGAATTCTTTCGAGATTTCGCCTACAAATAATTTCGAATAAAAATGCAAAAAAAAAGCCAAATGCTCAAAGAAATATGAAAATCGAATTAAATTCCACTTAATTATGAAGAATTCTAACTTATTACGCTTCAATGAATGATAAAAATAATTGCTGAACAGAAAACAGAAAACAATAAATTAAAAATCAAAAAAAATGTATTATTGTTTTATATTTTCTTACTGAAATATAAATGTATGGTAAAAGTGTATGAAAGTGATAAAACTAACTGATAAAAAAGTTTCATTGATAAAAGTGATAAAACAGGTGATAAGCAGAATTACGAAAAATAAATGTGTAAATGCAAAGCAAAAAATGTTGAAAATGATTTTTCATTGAATTCATAAAATAAATTTATTAAATTTATAAAAATTTATTAAAAATATTTTAATTTTAACAATTTTCAATTCATAATTAATAAAAACAACTGCAAAAACAATTGAAAAAAACTCGACATTTAGTCAAACAAAGAAGAAATTACAAGAACGAAAGAAATTTTAGACAAAAAACCCAATATTGGCACTTTTCCAATTGGTCCGAAACGCTAAACTGGAACGATACGCTATTTCGTTAATCTGCTTTCGCCACAAATTATTGTTTTTTGCTAATTCATCCCGATTTTCTGATCAAAAATAAAAATGGTTAGAAAATAATTAAAGTAATGAAATAATAATTCAAATGAGTAATAAAACAATAATAACTTTAAATATTTTTTGATCGAAAATAATTAAATAATAAATAATAATAAATAAAAATAATTTTCTGATCAAAAACAAATAATAAAAAAATAATTAAAAATAATAAAAACAATTGTTTTCTAATCAAAAATAAATAAAAACAATAATTAAATAATAATAAAAATAAATAATTAATAATTGTGTAGTGCGAATAATTGTGTAGTCTGAATAAATTCGATTTACCTACAAATATGCATCGAATTTTATCGAAATACCACGAAATTTCTATTTTTAAAACATCGTGGAAGTGACAAAACGTGAAACATTCAAGAAATGACCCATCTATGACCTTTTAACCTTTGATTTTTTGACCTTTTGACTTATTTCGCGTGAAAAGAATAAGTCGCAAATTTAGCAGTGATTCTCTTAATTAGCTTAAGGTGGTAGTAAATATTTGAATGAGTTTTAAGTCAATAAAAGTATTTTTACTTAGTAAAATAGAGAAGATTTCTGACTCGTTTTTGAGAGAATTTTATGCTGCGAATGGGTAATTTTTAAACTTTTCTGCGGTACCACAACTGCTTTCTTCGTTTTTGAGAGAATTTTATGCTGCGAATGGGTAATTTTTAAACTTTACTGCGGTACCACAACTGTGTTCTGTTGTGCATTGATTTTTTCTTATTCGATATTTAAATTTAATTTTTATTTTTTTTCTTATTTTTCTAATATATAATTAATTTATAGTTCATTTTATGACTAATTCGTAGTACATTCGTTTCGAATGAATGTTTTCCTGTTTTTTCTCGTTTTTTATGAATTTTAGAAAAAAATTTTTTTTTTAATGGTTTGATGATAGCCAATGAGTTTTCTAAGAATCTTTTAAAAATTAGGAATTCCTCTAAATAGTTCCTCGGCGAGCATTTGCTTGGGGATTCTAATCGTATTTATAAAGCGCCATTGCCAAATATTTCATATCCGAAAAAACAATGCGGCAGGCGGATTCGAACCCGTGGAACCGATGTACATTTTAATAGAAAATGAAGTTGAATTTCAGGATGGCGCTGGTGACCTACCTAGATTTATCGCTAAGTGAGTCCCTGGCAAAAATCATTTCACCAACAGCTAACGGGGTTCAAAATGGTGACACTAGCCACATTTTTCAGAAATCAGGAAGCGGAAGCATTTTCCGCTTTCAAAAATTTATTTAAATTTAAAACTAAAATTAGAGATTAACGCTGAAATATTTTATATTTTCAATGTTTTCCGCTTTTCTAACGAAAATTATTTTTCTAAAACTACAAATCAAAGAAGCAAAAAGGAAAAATTGGAACGCGTTTTGCAGTTTCTTCTAACCAAGGACATTATTGCAAAAATTTAACATAAAACTTTTTTTAATCAAATGATAGTTATATAATTGTTTAGACGACGAACTGGTTCATCAGATGGTTTCGAAGCTCTTCCATGGACCAATTTTCTAACTTGTTTTTCAATAATCGCTTTCGTTTCGAAATTTGTGAATGCTAAGGTATTTCTTTCAATTATTGCTCTCTATTAAATCTCTTTCAGAAGGAAGAAAAAAGGCTTTTTTTAGGTTTTTTATCAAATGAACGGTGCTGCAAAAGGAAAAGAATAATCATCGCATCACTGATAAAATTTTAATAATAATAATAATCGCAATCGTGATAAATTTGCAATTAGAATATCACTGTACTCGGCTTAGATAAGCATTTATGATTCGTTTCAGAAACTGTATTTCGGAATTGTTCTTGGAATTCTTCGGAATACAATTTGCAGAATGAAAAACAATTTTGCAAAAAATTTTATTGCATGAACAAAATTTTTTTTTTTTTGCAAACAATTTGTTTTATTCGTGAATAAAGAAATTTTCTAAAGCAATATTTTTGCTGAAATTTCAAAAAGAATTCTTAAAATTTCTCAGAACAATAAATACGAAACAATTGACAATTTATGGAGAAAATTTGAGACAATTTTCAATGAATTCTGCAACTATTGTAATTTTAATTAAAATTGTCTGTGCAATTAATGAATGAATGCCATGAATGAAATTGTATTAGCGAAAGGCATATAATGAATTCCTTGGAAATTTTGAAGCAATGCAAATATATTAAAATAATGGAAAATATGTATTCCATGGAGTTAAACTGGACAATTTTAAGTTTAAAAGAAATTTATTTCAAGTGAAAACTTAAAGAAATATGTGAATTTGTTCGGAAATATCATTGGAATTTTTTATTTTATAAGAAAATTCTAGTAAAAAATTTTTATATAAAATCTTAGAAGTGATTTAATTTTACAAACATTATTTATTATTATTATTATTAGTATTATTATTATTATTAATACTATAATATTATCATTATTACTATTATTATTATCATTATTATTGTTTATATTATGCAAGAAATAAAAAATAAAATTCTTTTCCAAGAATATTCTAATCATAGCCATAATAAATTTTCAGCACAAACTCACTAAAAAATACTTTGAAATGCATAAATTGATTACTTCAGTTTTAGCAAAATTATTATAGTTTTATAATATAAAAATTGATGTGATCAATGCAAAATTTTGAATATTTAAATTATTTATATAAATTATTTAGCGATTTAAAAATTTCCAATTAATCTCTCAATTAATAGAGATTTTTTGGTTTAAATGGCAAGCGTTGAATGAATGACATCCCATAGCTAATGTTGATATGATATGAGATTTGGATGAGTTTTGAAAAATCGGTTTTTATTTAGGAATATAAAAATCGAAATGCTTTTTGGTGTTTTTAAAATGACTATTAATACTTTCTTTTGCGGGTCCAGAGGAACATTGGTCACCTTTTGTGACAAGTTTCTTGCAATCGTTTCCTTTTTCTTTTCAATGATACATAAATTTTAATTTAATAGAGTGCATTGAATAATACTTTGAAAAAAATAAGTGAATGAATTTTTGCATATTCATGCATTTTGATCGAATTTATTAAAATTTAAATGGTTTTTAGCGAATTTTCGCCTGAGGCAAGATCATTTCATTGAACCTCATTGTTTGCAAATAAATTATCGGCCTTTTTCATTAAAATAGTTATGAAGAAGAAGATGGCGAAGAAAATTGCCCAGAGGCAGAGATGCAATTCACTGAACCGTATTCTTCGTTTCGTTCATTTATCTGTTCTTTTTCTCTTGCGTAATACGATCGGCTAATCAACAAACAAGGCACATTTCGTTTTGTTACGCTAATATCACTTTGAAAGGTGTTTGGAGGCAGTCAATATAGTCTAATGAGTGGCCAGTCGGTCGGTTGGCAGGCAGCTAAATAAGTTGGCAGGGGGCAGATAGGAAGGTAGGTGCGGGGTAGGCGTGCGTTTCGAATATTCGTCTCGGCAAATAGACTTTTGTGTTATGAGTAAAAGAATATAAAATTATAAATAAATGTTTTATATTTGAGAATTTATTTCGACGTCGAAAGTGATCATTGGTTTGAGCAAAATTATACGAGTAGGACGAGCAACAACAAAGACGACGAGGTGACAATTTTTTTACGCTAAAATAAATCAACCAACTGTTCCGCAATTAATTTGAAGATTTTTTGAAATTTATGAACGAAGAAAGCCAATTTTATTCGCTAATTATTCGAGTATTTATTAATTAATAAATCTAATAATTTAGTAACGTTTTATAATTTTTAAAAGAAATGAAATGAATTCGGGTAATTAGGGTTTTATTTGAATTTCTATTAAAATTAGGAATTGGCTATTAGGTAGGCGAATTATCATCTCCATCACCGCTAACACTTTGTTCCAACATCCACCTTTAAAAAATTTATCATAGGCGAAAGGTAGGGGGAGGAGAGATCGAAGCAACTTTCGGTATTCCAGTCACCAAATAAGTCCCTGGCAAAAACTACATTAGCAGCCAACGAAGCCAGTCTCACCGATTCAATATTGACCACTTTAATGAATTATTGAAATTAAATTTCGAAGACATTTCAAATTGAAAAGCTTTAGCTTCCTTTTTTTTGAATTTTCTATAAATTTTAACTATATTCACTTTTTGTTTTTATTTTTAATTAATTAAAACTATATTATTATAATTAAGCGAAAAAAAAACTCGATGACATTGAATTGGTGATCACTTTTAAAGAAGAAAGTTTAAAAAATTTTGGTCGTTTTGACTCAACTCAGTTCACTTTCTACTGCTTATTCGCTGTTGGTACTCATTAATCAAAATTTTTTTAACTTTAAAATTTTTAAAATTTTCAGAATTTTTAATTAGAAACTCTAGATTAATTCAAATTTTCAAGAGAAACCGGATTAATTTTATGCATTTCTCCTTTTTTTTCAAAATTTGTCAGAAATGCAAAATTTATCAAATTATTTCCATTTTATTTTCGGTTATCAATTTCTAAATTTTTTATATTAATATGGAGAATTCTAGTGAAACTCGCTTTTCGAAGTGCAAACTCTAAGCGAATTTCGAGTAGGCAAGCAATGCAATTACCAGTAATTCGACTTGTATTTCTTCTCCAGCCGATTATTTCATGTACAGCTTCAATTCTAGCAAATGTTTCACTGCCTAAATTGTCCGGAATGGACATAATGTCCTCCGATAAATTTCTACACATTGGTATCATTGAACGGGTTTCTAAGACTACTCTTAATTTACACAGGCATCGGCGACAAATTATTGCTGGTCCTCAGTATGAATGGCGAACCTATGAAATTCCTTTCACCATATGGGGTGGCGATCGTAAGTTTTATTTTTTTTTAAAATTTTTTTTTTAAATTTTTTTTTAAATTATCAATAATTTCAACGTCATTTCAAAATCAGATTTTTACGTAAACTGAATTGAATTGTTTCAATTAATTTTATGACTCTAATTTAATCATTTTAATTTAATTTAATCATTTTTTTCTATTGCCTTAGTGTTAAGCTTATCATATATTTTTATAATGAAATTCTATTTTATTGAATATCTATAACGCTGAAATTCTTCAATAATTAGCTGCGATGGCGAATTTGTAATTTAAAATATATAAATATATCATAAAAATAAAAAATATAATAAAAAATAATAATATATCTTAAGGTGAATAATTTTTGAAATAAACTTGTTTCTTTCTTCGTCTTTGATTTTGTACGAAGAAATTGAAAAATGTATTATTGAAGATTTTTCTTTCCCCGATGAAATAAAAATACTGAAATGAAATATGAATGATTTTTTAAATTAGCTAAAATTTAATTCGAGGTTTGTAAGATTCAAAATTTCAAAGAATTAATAGAACGTAGCCAATGCAAAGTACCACTATTATTTTATTTTTTTAGTGGATTTCTCAAATTCGGAGTTAGAATTTTTAAAATATCTGTCATCTGCCATCACAAATGTTTTCTATCCGATTCACGAAAAATTAAGCCATGAAATTATCGAGTGATATTACTGAATTATTGATGCCAGGCATACGGGCTCCATTCCTATCTGTTATCGGCAGCAATCTCATCTGAAATGCGAGTAGGGAGGGACTACTCCTCATATTTCTTCATACGAGAAAAAAATTCCGTCCATAGCTGATTCTGTGACAAAATTTTATAATTCACTCTAGCAATCGGTAGAGCTGACCAGAAATGATAAGTACTATTATATTATAAGTGCAATGATGATAATCAAATTGATAATGATTTTGAAATTGTAGGAGTCTCATCAAAATTTAATTTTCAGCAGGATTTTATTATCAAAGGAATTCTTGCAAAACTTGCGGATTGTTTATAGTTTGCCGCATTGATCAAAGGCGATTCTGCCAATTCAGGATTTAGATTCCTTAACAAAGACTTAGCTCTTCTGAAATAAATTATTAAATATGGCTGCTTTTTTCTTAAACGAAATAATAAAAATATTCGATGGATTCTTTCATTCTCCTAAAATAATTAGACCTATCGAATAAATGGAATACTGCTTATCACTCCAATAGTGGTACTTTTTAAAATAGCTGGTTTTGTAAAAATTCTAGTGCCTTCTAAAGCTTCTTTCCTTAATCAACGTTTTTAAAATTTTTTTTTAAAAATATTTTCTAGACACAAAGGCCTATGCATTTGCTTCACAGAAGTGAACCTGTCATTTAAAACGAAAAATACGGATACTATTTGATTCCGTACTTCTATCTCAAAAGAATTTGACCTTAATGAGCTGTGGAACCAATCCAACTAGAAGTATTGAATGCTGGAAAAAAGAATAATACTTTGTGATGTATTTCATTAAACGCATAGGGTGTTGCGAAAAAAAACCTCTTTGTGATAAATCTGTGCGAAATTCATAAGAATTTCTGATTTCAAACTTTTATAACTAAATATGTTTTCCGCTTCTTGTGATCTCAGGTTTTTGCTTCATATTTTGGAGCTCAATTAATGATTTTTAGTGGGATTGGTTATTAACTAAACATGATTCTGTTTCTTTTGGCGAAAGTTTTTTGAAATCTCAGAATTATTAGAATAAAAATTATTGTTGATTTTTTGATTTATTATTGGATTCTGCCACAGTTTCTCATTAATTCGAAGCGCAAAACATTTTGTCCATGACTGAATAATCGAATTGAAAAAACTAGTTTCTGTGGATGTTCTGCAATAACATTGATAAAATTGAAGTTTATCGTTGATTTCAACTATGCTACGGAAATGGTTCGCTTGAAATGATTGATTTGTAAAATAGATAAAGCCAATTTAAGTGAAAAAATTTGAAATGGTTCACTTGATTTATAAAATAAATATTTACAAAGGCAATTTAGGTGAAGAAATTTGGTACTTTAGGTGTCTTTCTTTTCATATTTTTATCTGAATTCGGCTTTCTTCTTCTTCTAAAAGCAATTCATTAAAAAAATTTTTAAGAAATTTTTGCAATAATCTTTATAATTTCCCGAATCAAAGTAAAGCGATCCCGGATTTGGAATTGACGATATAAATGGTTAACGTTGACTTTTTTTCTGGTCAGACTGGCTCCACCGGCTTTTAGTGGAATGAAAAAATGGGTTGCAGTTAGAAATGCAGGTGAGATCGCCAGCATTACCCGTTTAACACCTCGTCGGATCGGATGAAGGCTTAACGAAGGAGATGATAAGCTAAACTCGGATACTCGAAAATATAGCAACTATGCCAAATGCCATATGCCATTATTTTCACAAATGATAATTATTTATTATTTATTATTAATTTTATTTGTATCATTTGCCTTCGTAAAAGAAAATTTTAATTATTTTTACATTTTCTAAATAATAAAGTAAATAAAAATAATAAAAAACTGAGCGATCATTTAAAGTGGGGCAAATATAATCAACAAAGGTATTAAAAGGAAATTTCATTAAAATTTATTCTTTTATTCTTTGCATGAAATTTTTATTTTGTATTATTATTTACATTTTAAACAATATTTTTTATAAATTTTATAATTTTAAATAATTTTAAATAATTATCGTTATTCGAACAATAATTGAAATTAATTATAATGATAATTATAGAAGAAAATTAATTAAAGATAATTAATAAAAATTAATAATGAAGAAAATAAAATTAAAAAAAAATTAATGAAAATTAAAAAAAACAAATTTTATAATTGTATAATTCGAATAATTTTTATAAATCTTTCAAATTTTAAATATGTGAAAAAATTCATTGTTTCAATGAATTTTATATTTCAAATATTTTTGTAATTTTCACACTTATTTTATTTTATTTTATGGGTATTTGTTTTATATTACAGGCAATTTTCGTAATCTTATACGCCGAGGAATACGTATGTGGGAAGAATCGACCTGTTTAAGGTTTAGAGAAGACACTCATGCAAGTGATGCAATCAGGTTGATCTTTTATAGGGAATTAGAAATTTATATGGACACAGATTTTTGGATGGATAAATTAAAGTAATAAAATAAAAATTTGAATGAAAAAAAGATGATCCATTTAGAGGGAAAAAACTTGTATAAGCATTGATAATTCAACTGCGATAGATTTATCAGTATTGTGATACTGACAACTCTTATTAGTTGATAATCAGTGGCATCATCTGGAAAAAAAAAACAAATGGAAATGGTCAGCGCTCTTGAAAAAAAAAAAAACTAGTTATGGCAAAGAACTATTCAGATATGTTCTTGAAAGAGGTGATAGCTGTTTCACGGAGTATATTGGACGGAATGGTGGTTATCAGGACATTATCATTGGAAGTGAATGTGCTGAGGTAAAAAAAGCGAATTTTGTAATAAAGAAGTTCTTGGCATTTTATGTTTCCAACCGTAAGAAAGGTGATAAGGCAGTCGAATGGCATAGTTATTTCGCCAAATATTCAGTCACAAGTTTAGCTTCTGTTCGTTGACGAAAGTGAATCTCATTAAAAGTCTGGTCTTGCTGGTAATAATCCACTTGCAGTTCTGCCTCTAATAACACTCGCTTGTGAAGAATGACTCGGTGGGTTGTTGCTCAATTGGGAGCCGTTGCTGAGGTTCAATTCCCCGTAGGAGTAAACCTGTACAAAAATGCGGGTGATGCTGGCGACTCACCTGTATTTCTGTCGCCAAAGGAATATTCCCTGGCATATTGCCTAATGTGACAAGCCAGTGGAGCGAGTCTAACCAGTAATGGTGATGACTCTTTAAAAAAAACTCCCTTATGAAAAGGTTTCGCCCTTATAATCAAGAAAAAATCAAGAAAAGAAAAGATCAGTTTTTGTAAGATTTATAAAAAATATATAGGAAAGAAGAAATACAGAAGAAAAATGATCGGTTTATTCATATTTTAGGAATATTATTTCTTTTATTTAAAGTTACAAAATTTTTGTTAATGAATATGAATGAATATTTCTCATTCGCCACATATCAATTGATAATTGGTAGCAATCATTTGAAAAAAATAAACATTTCAAAGATTTGTCGTTGATAAGAAAAGATCCATTCATACTTTAGAAAAGACCGTTAACGATTGACTTCACTGATTATTTTTATCTAAAAATTTAAATTTTCTCTACATTTAGCAAGCCGATGGCAAATAAGCGTTATTTATAGGAGTATGTGGTAGCGCATGAAACTGGCCACGCTCTTGGCTTCTGGCACACCCATCAACGACCCGATCGTGATAGATATATAACGGTGAATTGGAAAAATGTTCTTGAAGAAGCGACGGCATCATTCATGCCATTTCACAGCATGTTGCAAGCTTTTGGCATACGACAGGTGGTTCTCATGCTCCTTTCTCTAACTAAGGATGAATTTTCAGTTTGCGATTTCAACAATAGCAAACATTTTTCTCTGAATATCCGTAAATCATATTTGGTACCAGGATACTCAATTCAGCTCAATTATAGCACTTTTTTTCTATTATAATAATGAGATATATTTATTATTTGTTCGATATATAATAGGGCGACAGCATAACTGACTGATTGGTTTTGTCAACAAAATTCGTCACGAATAAAACTTGTTAGGGGAAAAATTCCGAATAGATAACCGTCATCTTGAAAAATTATTACGTGAATCTCTTTTATGGAAATCTTTGCAATAATTGAACAAAAATTAATCGCTAAAATGGTACTAATCAATATTAGTACTAAATAATATTATTATTCTTTTTCTAATACCATTCATGATTTCTAATTTGCTACCTTCATTCACTACTGGGACGAGATTTCTTCACCAGAGGGACACTTCGAAATAGAAGCACAGATGGCTTTTCAGCAACGATATGTTAATATTAGACAATATTCATGTTATAGATACAAAAACGAAATTATTTTTTCAATATTTATCGCTTTTATGTGGAAAATTTCCTTTTATTACTGCTTATGGATGGTGTTTCCCTTGGCCTTAGGTTCTCTATCAGGAATCTGAGAGTTTGAGGGGTGGTTAGGAGAGCATTAGGAGATTTTTGCCCCAATGATCCCTCTTCTGAGTACACTGGTACCAGCTCGGGTTCGGAACTTTGATTCCATGTTTCAAAGGTTCCATGTGTTTTAATTAATTGGTTAATGTATATGTGCTCGTTTATACATTAGAAAAGAATCGTAACCTGCAAAATGTCCATCGTTACTTAACTGCTAGTTATTCAAATGAATTCAAAATAATGCAGATTTCGAGCAGACAAGCGCCATATGATTATGGATCATTGATGCATTATCATGCAGTGGCTCATGCAATAAAAATATCCGACTTTACTATTGTACCTAAGGAATTAAAATATGTAACAACGATGGGCACTGAAAAAATGGCTTTCTTGGATGCGAAGATTATTAACGACATTTATTGCCCAAGTATGATGGCATTTGCTGATGATGAAAAAAAATTTATGAGAATATTTCATTTTTGAAATTTATGCAAAGAGTAATAATTTAACTTTTCCAGTAATTTAATTTTTTAAGTTGTTGTTTCAAGTTTCACTATCTTTCTTCAGATGTATGTTTTGGAAGGACATTTGTGAATTGCCTATCTGGGGGATATCCCGATCCGAACAACTGCAATATTTGTCGTTGTCCAGAGGGACTTGGGGGTGTCGACTGTTCACAGCTGCAACCATCATGTAGTTTGCAAATTTTAATAAAAACTTAAAAATAATGCGAATATTATTTCTCTCTTCCTTAATCGCCTACATTTGATATTTGCTTCGCTTTTTTTGTAAAATTTGAGCAAATTTTAAAAGGAAATTTGTAAAAATCACCAAGTGAAAAGTAAAATTGACAAACAGAAAGGTTCAAAAATGTGACAATTTTGAATATATTTCTTTCAATGTTTCATAAAAAAGAGTAAAAAATTATTACAAAAATTACTTTTAAAGACGAACAGATTTAATAATTTTAAATTGATTTATTCGAAGATTTATCAATTTTTCTTTAAATTGAAGCATGTGGCGGCGAACTATGGGCAACGGACCGCTGGCAAACGCTTATTAGTCCATCCGGAAGAAACATCAATTGTTATTGGAGGATATCGGTTAGTTTTCTTTCAGCTGTTACGAATTTCAGCTTCTTCCTCCTCGCTTTAATTCGTATAATAAATAAGTTGTCGATTTTCCGGCTCTTATCTTATTTGTAGGCACCAGAAGGAAGTCGCATAAGGTTTAAAATAATTGATGGTGAATTTCCCTGTTCATATGGTTGTCAATCATACATAGAAATCAAACACAAACTTGATGTTAGACTAACTGGATTTAGAAGGTAAAATTTTATTGTCATATTCAACTATAGTCAATCTCTGTTCATTGAGTAGAGTTGTCACCAAAACCTGCTAGTGCTGGTGACTGCACCCATATTTCTATTCCCACCCGTCTCACCGGCGAATACATATTCTTTTTATGCGAACTACCATGAAGTGAAATGGGAAACTCTACGATTATCACCATTGTTACTTTCTTTCACGCTGACCAAATATATATTTACAGTTGCTGCTATCGCCCAAAAGAAGATACAATTTCTGATGGAAACCAAGTATTTGTCATATTTCATCCGAATGGCAAAATAGCAAAGTTTACACTACAATACGCGAAACAATTGGCGTAAATGCGTAATGCCATATAATTCAGTGATTTAACAATTGTTCTGCAAAGATGGAATTTTCACGCATTTTCAAACTGCCATTTGCTAAGAATTTGAAAATTAAGAGGAATTTTTGATTCTTAGAAGTTTCAAACGGGTTATGGTGGTGTGTCATTCTATATTTTTTTTTGTATCAAAACTGATCATTTGTTAGTCGAATTTCATTGCGTAATTTTACTCTTTTGTATATATTAAATTAATTTAGATTTTTCATTATTATAAGGCTGCCAACAATAAAATTTTACAATGAACATTCGTAATTTTGTCTAAATTAAACTAAATTAAATTAAATTTCATTCCAAAGTTTTATAAAAATAAAATTTTGTAAAATATGCAAAAATATGCAAAAAACCCACGCAAAAAAATTGTTTGCTTTTTGAATTTTAAATAAAGGAAACTCTAAAATATTTACATAAAAAAAAGTACCTAGTTTTATAAATCCATTGTAAACACATTTTTACAAAAACTCAATAAATTCATCATATTTTAAATATCTTACTTTTTCTTGATAAAAGAGTAAAAAGGAATTTCAACAGACAAAAAATGCTTTCTTCCATTTGGTAAAATCTTCGTGGAATTGAAAATTTTAGAACTTTAAAACGAGAAAGTTCACATTTATCTAACTGCATTGCGCAAAATGAGCTATAAGACTGCGAAAACTATCTAATAGAAGAGGATATCACGAAGACAACCATTTGCCTGCCATACTCACTTATTCACCAAGTGGATAAAGTACCAGATTCTCGAATATATCCTACCTTAAATATATATAACTATAGTCTACCTTAAATATATATATATATTTATATATATATATATATATATAATTTATATATTGAACGCATAGAACTTATTTGATTAGGCCACATACTTCGCCGCTAATCACAGCAATTGATACATCTCATCATGTACCTTGTGACCTCAAAAATAAGGAGAGCCAGTAAAATCAAAATTACACAAATTGCACAAAGAAATTTTACAATATTCAACATTCTAAAAATTAATAAATTGCTACGGATGCTATACTATCTGAAACACTTGTTGAACTACTTGAATGACAATATTGTTGAAGGAATAAACTGGGAATCCAATACTGAATAGTATCTGTTGGTTGACTGTCTACCCAAGCAATACCTTCTTTGACAAGATGTTCAAGCACAAGCTGTGTTCTTCGTTCATCCCAACGCAAACGATCCATTATTAATTCCTGATGAATTAGAATCATTTATAAGGTCTATTTTCCAAATGATTAAAAATAATTTTAAAAGAATATTGAAATTTAATTAATTCAAATATAATCATGGTCTCAAATACTTTAGTAACATAAGCAGCATCTTCAGCTAGTTGTAAAACTCTCGAATCGTCCATACTTAGTTCACCAGGTACACTCTGAATCAAAAATCGACCGCTACCCAAAGCAATTAGTTCAAATCCATTGCCAAGTACCTTCAATTTATCAACGGCTCTGATAATATCGTCACTGAAAAATTTCATTTAAATGAAAATTTTAAATTTATAAATTATATATATCATAATTATATATATTATATATAATTATATATATTATAAATTATACATATTTGTGAGAAAGACTCGTACAATCTATAAAATTTTGCTTAATAATAGTTCGGTAAAAACTAAAAATCAGTTAAAAATTCTAACTTTGTGATATTGTCACGTCGAGATCGTGCACGTGATCTAATCAGCCGATTTCTAAGTTCTTCGACAGTCATTACTCCACCATTAATGTGACTAGTTGACATACAAACTTCAACGACTTGAACAGCTAACTCGTAATAAAAATCGCCAATTCCCAATTTCTCGGCCCAAAAGCCTTTACTAGCTACAAAAAACGACAAGGTTTAATTTAATTTTATATAATATTATATTTAATTCAATATAATAATAATTAATTTAAGGTTTCCTCCTCATTCGACTAACACTACCACTATTGCTAATTCATCTTCCTATTTCAATAGCGTAGACATGAGAATAAGACTCATTCATACCACCCCGTATAGGACTCCTCGAAGGGAAAAATGGCTAATTGTGGAACTTGTATGTGCCTCATGTTCAATGCCTTGAAAAATATTTGATAAAAAATTTAGGAAATTTGTAAATTCTTCAGATTATGCAACCATTTCCATGATATTAATTAAGCAATAGTTAAGCATGATATTAGTTAGATATTATGTTTCATTCCATACAATTTCTCCCTTTCTTCCGCATTATAATTCATCTTTCTCGTTATCATCAAATTTCTTATCTATACTTATCTTTTTAAACGAAACTATTTACTAAATAATTACAATTTCATTGAATTTCCTTTAATCCTCTCGTCTTTTTCAAAAAAATTAATAAGTTGAAGAAATGTGCAGAGGTGATTTAGTTACTGATTAAATCGAATTATTACAGGTGCAATTCCTGTACAATTTCTTGACAGGAATGAACCTGTTATTAGGAAAGCGATTAGTGCTGCGATTCATTTATGTTTCTATTCCCCAATAACTCACCAAAATCGATCCATTATTAGCCCATGAAGTCATTCGAACCAAAAATGAAGTTGAAAAAAGAAAAAAATTATCATTCGAATGAATCATTGAGCCAATATACTTGCTTATTATTATTATTATTATTATCATTGTAAGCATCATATTAACATTAAAATGACAAACATTAACATTATCAAAATGACAATCCGATATGACAATTTAATTAATAAAATTATATTTTTTTTAAAATGAAGTGTTGAAATTAGAAAAAAATAGCTTTGAAATCATAAAGCTTTGAAACAGTTTCTCAAATGGAATGAAACTGTGGCGAACATAACTTAATGGGTTGATGTTCATATCTCATATCAGATGTTGCAGTTCTATCATTCAAAAAATCCGGGTGGTGCTGGCGATTCACATGAACAGCAATCACCAAATATCTCTCCGGTGAAATTTCTCTAGTACTGCAGGCCACTGCGAGCCTAATCGAAAGTGGTCGCTCTTTAAAAAAGATGTAAAATGAAAAGAAAATTAACAAGCAAGAGGATCGACTCCAACTGATGAGCACATTTCTTGAAAGTATCGTCGAAACTGTGAATTTCGTTTAATTTCATCACGATGTCGATGCGAGAATTCTTCGAGTTTTGCTTGAAATATTGATAATTCGTGCGCAAATTGATTTAATTGTTCGCTTGCTAATTCCGAACCTTTCACTTGAAATTTCGCCTAAAATCAAAAAATAAAAATTTGAAAAATAAAAATTTGAATATCTTTTAAATTCGAATTTTTAACAAAAAATAGCTTTAAAAAAATTATTTTATAAAAATTATTCTAAAAAATTATATAAAATAAAATTTTATGTAACAAACAACCAACTTGCAATTCTTTCTTTTGTTGCACAGCACCGACACCAACCGGTCTTCGTCGCGATGCCATTTGTTTTTTTCCGAGTTTAAAGGCTTACCTAAAACATCTCCAACAGTACAAATAAATTATTGCTACTCCCGCCCCACGCCGTAATAAAGCATTAAAACATTAAAACATACACCTCACATTGCAATACACCACACACGCAAATACGTAATGGCAGCCATAAATAATAAATATTTATTGACATATACGACCCCAGAGCACGTTAAAATATCCACTGTACACGAGGTGTTATCAATTTTGTGCGAGTACGCTTGCATCACATACGACCAGCACGTTGTAAATAAAATATAGACTTGAGTACATCCAAATCTTGAAAATTCTAAAGACGTTTAGTAATTTTGCATTAAACAAATCTAACAGGAATCTCACATTGTTGAGAATAGGAAATACTTAAACTGGATGAGTCTAACACGTTATAGATTAGACTCGCGAATACGCTATCCTATTATGCGTGATAAATACGCATAATTTATATCCAAAATACTGGTACCGTCTACAAAACACGCGTAATATGTGCGTGGCGTGAAATTTTGCGACACGTAAAATAATCAGAAAAATATTCGATTGAGGAAAATTGTAAGACGTTTAACGTGAATCTATGCTACCTCATTTACACGTAAACGTAAAGAGATAAAAGAAAAAAAGCCCCGAAAAAAAAGTTATTAAAAATTACCAGCCGAAGAGAAACGCGTAAGAAACAATGCTGTAAATGCAGCGAAACAATACGCGTGCAATGATGTGCACCAATTTCGTACCATTCTGTTATTATGTGCAAAAAAATTGTATCAACACCCAAAAAACGTGATTGCTTTTTTTAATGATTCAATGAAGACGTGAATCTTTTCGTGCAAGAAATTTTCATCATCACGTATTTCGCGCGCAATTTTCACGCGGATTTTACGTTTCCACTATCTCCACTAGTGAATACTATTTTCCAGTGAATTTTTTTAATGTCCTTGCATTTTCCACTTAATTTTGGTGCAATTATTCATGCAAACCGTCTGTCGTTTTCATTTATTGTGTTGGAATGGTTCACGTATAATTTCGTCGTTTTCTAGGGTTCGCGCGTTAGTGAATGTTTTGGACTAGTAGATGTTTGTTTCGTGCATGTGCAGCTGTTCGCCATGTTGTCGATGGTAAATGGGTTACTACGCATTACACGCGACGTCCACGTAAATTAGATGAACGGTGGAAAGAAATTGATATGGGGCGATCAAGCGACAATTATGATGTTGTTGTTGTTGGTGGTGGACCAGCTGGTTTGTCAACTGCTATTCGACTACGACAACTTGCTATGCAAAATAATAAGGGTATATTTATTATTTTAATGATTTATGGGTCATTTTCCGGTCAGACTATTGCTCGCATATAACTATTGTAACTATTGTAAAAGGACATTTTAGTTTGGGCCAACGACTACTTCTAACGATCCTCGCAAGTAGTGTAAAGGCGAGCAATGGACCATTCTATGCATATGATTTATGATTCATATTTTAGAATTAATTTTAAAATTATAATATTATTTTATTAAGTTTTACACGTAAATATTTACGTGTATTTTTTACGTTAGTGTTGTTCATTTTCCTCGGATTATCTTTTTATTTTTCTAAGAGCAATTGGCAATTCTCGTTGGGCTCGCTCAGTTGGCGTATTGTGCAGATTTCGCCATAATTACTTGGCGATAGAAGTTAGCAGCATTAACTGGATTTTTGAAGATTTACTCCTTTCGGACATCGAATCTTAGCATCGGCGCTCCAATCTGAATAACACCCAGCCATTTTACTCCCCTTTGGGCCGTTCGGTGATATTCTTACTCAGGCTATTCTCGCTTCTTAATTATTTTGTTATTAAGCGAGCGGGTTTCCATTAGTTGTTAGTTACTGTTCATTGAAAATCGGTCGGTTTGATGCCAAAAATAGTTGGAAAAATTTGCTAAAATTTGGAGTATTTTGCATTACTTCATACTTTTATTTTCTCAGTCTTAGCCAGCGGCTTTTAGTTGACTAACGCTGAAGCGAATCTGTACGAAGAAAACAAGTTACAGCCTATTTTTCTTTTATACCAAAATTTAAATGCTGGTGAATTTTAAACCGTTATGGTCTGTTGGGTTATCTCTTCGGTCCTCTGAGATTAAAATATTGAATCCTGCTGCGTGCAGTTCACAGTTATGCATACCCTTTTAATCGAAAAATACTTTTTGTTTCAGAAATTAGAGTCTGTTTGCTGGAAAAAGGTCCTGAAGTTGGTGCTCATACTTTATCTGGTGCTGTTATCGAAACTAGCGCACTCGATGAATTATTTCCCGATTGGAAAGATTCAGCTCCTGTTTTTCAAAAAGTTTTAGTAAGTTTTGGTTTTTCATCTCTTTCTATATTTCATTTAATATTGAATTTCAGGTTTTTTTTCGGAAAAAGATATATTTATTATGTAAAAATAGGTTATTGTCTTTGCGGATTGGTGATTGTTTTTCTAATAAAAATTAAAGAATGATTTCTTTGTATTTCATCTTTTTCATATTGGTTTTTTATTTTTATGATAATTTTCGTAATGTATAAAATGCTTAATCAATATTACATGAATAAGTATCTTTAATGAGTTTTTGAAATCAAAATATTTTAATAATTTTGATAATTATTGCTAGAACTTGCAGAAGGAATCGATAGCTCTTCTCACCGAAAAACGTCGAATCCCAATTCCAGTTTTACCTGGAAATCCTCTTAATAATCATGGAAATTATATCGTCAGGTGAGTTTACACAGAGATTTATTAAATTTAGAGATTTGATCGATGATATTAATTTTAATTTGGTCAACTGCATTTATGGACTCATAGTCATCACTGATAAAATAACGATTGCACAATATCATTTCCATCAGATCAATTTTAAGGCGATAGCACTTTTTTAAAATTTAAAATTTTAAATTTGCCAATGCGAACTTCATTAGAACTTTTAGCCTATAGTGGTGATTAAATCACATAATACAAAAAATGATAGATTTATTTTTTACAAAATAAAATTGTTACAATTAAAGTAAAATAGCAATTCATTAACAATAAATGCCCAAAGAAAAGCAATGCGCAAAAAAGTGACTAATTTCTAAAAAATGAAAAATGAAAAGAACAAAAAATTTGTTTTATAAAATTTTCAAAAATTTTACACCACTCCACTTGGTTCTCAAGATAATTAAGATTAAAAAATTTCGAATGATTAAAAAATGGAGATTCCTGATAGACAAAAAGAAAGAATATATAAAGAAATACACTATTTTTGAAAAAAAAATCCTTACAGAGCAAAATAAATGGAAAAGGAATTGTAAGATTCCCGTGAAAGCAATTTTAATCTTCAATTTGCGATACTTCGCGTTAGATTCGAATATAAATTATTGAATGACATTTGATTTGATCAATCTTCAAGATAAATTTTTCCATACATATCTTTTATTTATGTATTTTAGATTAGGTCATCTGGTAAAATGGTTGGGACAAAAAGCAGAAGAATTAGGTGTCGAGGTATATCCAGGATATGCAGGCCAAGAGATTCTATTCAATGAAGATGGAAGTGTCAAAGGAATTGCGACAAATGACGTTGGAATAGCGAAAGATGGAGCACCTAAGGTTTATCGTTTCATCAGTAGGTATACAAATGGATATTTCTATTTTCAATTTTAATTAGATATTTGGATATTTGAGGAGTATCTGGAACATTCGGATTTATTGGACTTCGATATTTTCTGTAAATAGAAAAAGCCGACTAGCTGCTTAAGAGTAGTGAATCAAAAAGCGAATCATAAATTTTGAAATTAAAAATAATTTTCATTAAATTTTATATTTTATTAAAGGAAAATTTTGAACGAGGCATGGAACTACTTTCGAAATGCACAGTTTTTGCGGAAGGATGTCGCGGCCACCTTTCAAAACAAATCATAGAAAAAGTATCGTATTATTTTATAATTTTTTCCTGACTTTCATAATTTTTCTAATTTTTCAGTTTGATCTTTGTGTCAGCAGTGATCCGATGTCTTATGGTATTGGTGTTAAAGAACTTTGGATTGTGGATAAATCAAAACATAAGCCCGGATACGTTGAGCATACTCTAGGATATCCATTGGTATATTTTACTCTGACTTTAAAACTTATTTTTTTAAAAATTCTTGTTTTTTCTTAAAAATTCTCATTAAATTCTTATTACATGAATTTGAAGCGATCAGGTGAACAAAAATATATGGATATATCTATAAGATATAGGCAATTTATTATTTTATTAATTTTTCTTAATTTTTTTGTTTATCGATTATCGGCTATCAAACGAGATATGTTAATTCTATGCACAACTGAGGCTTGATTGCGGATTTTTGTCAAACAGTGAGAAATTAAGTTGCAATTTCCTTAATAGCTAAAACAAGATGTGACTATCAACTGCGGAAAAAAGGGAATGAAACGATTTAGATTAGTTGAGACCTTGGCTAAAGCTAGGGGTTGTTATCCAAAATATCAGAGATGGAAAATAGTGCCGATGTACAAGTTTGAAAGTGTGAAAAATAAGTATGAATAAGTTTTTTGAAATTAAAAAAGAATCTGGTATAGCAGTGGTAATTTTTTCGAGGGAAAATAGAACAGTGGGTTGTTGCTGAATTCGAAGCGCTGATGCTGGTTCTATAGAAGTAAACTCGTCCAAAAATCCGGGTGGTGCTAGTAACTCACCCGTGTTCTATTGCCAAGGGAGTCACTGGTATTTTTGTCCAGTGCGACAAGCCAAGGAAGTGAGTCTAACCAGATGAGGGCTTCAAAAAAAAATACAACTAACGATTTTTCGTATTTTTTATGTATTTTATGTATTTGCTCTACTCATTAGAATTTTATTGGAAGTATTAGTTACGGAAATAAATCACTTAATGGTGTAATTTTTCCGTAATCTACATCCAATTTTTAAAAGAAGCTGCTTAACAGTCAGTGAATGATTATATGATTTTGATTATATTGATTTTTGCATTTGATTTTTACTTCTTCGGTTGTTGGTTTTGCTCTTTTTATATTCTCTCTTGCATTTCAGTCTTGTTTCCCATGTTTTACTTCCTTTTATTTCCTTTTGTTTTATCTGTCTGGTTCTTAATAAATGATAATTAATAAATAAATTAGCGAAATTTCTTTTCAGGCTCGTGATCAGTACGGTGGTTCTTTCATGTATCACATTGAAGATAATGGTCAACCTTTAGTTGCAGTTGGATTTGTAGTTGCATTGGATTATAGGAACCCTTACATAAATCCTTACCAAGTAAGAATGATTAAAATACTCACTCATGTTTTTGTTTTTAATTTCGGATCTGATGTTCCAGAAAGCATAATGGGGTACAACTTTCAGGAATTCCAAAGATATAAATCTCATCCATCAATTCGGAGATATTTAGAAGGCGGTCAGAGAATCGGTTATGGTGCTCGAGCATTAAATGAAGGTGGTTATCAGACTGTACCAAAATTGAATTTCCCAGGTGGTTGTATTGTTGGTTGTTCCGCAAGTTTACTTAACGTTGCAAAGTTAAAAGGAGTTCATAATGCAATGAAAAGCGGCATGGTAGCAGCAGATATTATCTTTCCAGAATTGGAGAAGCAGGCAAGTAAGTGAAGAGTATAACTAATTAAGTTTTCTTAACTAAGAAAATCATTCCATAAAAATCCTAGTAACTCTTTATGTCTTCAATTCCATGTCTTGAAGTAATAAATTAATCAAATTTAGCTGTAAATCCTGTTGAGTATGAATCTACTCTCCGGCAAACGTATGTGATGCAAGATATGAAGAAAACACGAAATATAAGACCATCATTCAACACAAGTATGGGGTGGATAGGTGGTATGATCTATACAGGACTTTTTTACCTATTGGGGAGAGGCAGTGAATTTTGGACCTTGCACCATGTAAAAAGAGATAATGAAATAACAGAACCAGCCATAGAGGTGCTATCTTATTTGTTCTTTAGTACTTCCTTTAAAATTATCATTTAATGCCAAAAAGGCCATATTTATCCATATTTATTTTTTTATAGATTTTGGTAAGATTTTGGTATTGCTATGCCACCCATCAGCCACCTATATAAAGGGTTATCCATTAGCATAAATGTGTTTTAGAACTGGTGTTGTAGTGAAGCTTCAAAAAATTGATTTAAAAAGCTGTTTTTCTAATTTTTTGTAAATGTTTGATAAGGGAAAATATTTTGTAAAATATTATAATATTATTTATTATTAATTATATTATAATATTATTAAATATTATTTCTTATTTTGCAACATTTGTTTTTGCAGCATAAACCGATAGAATATCCAAAACCCGATGGAAAAATAACATTTGATTTACTTTCCTCGGTGGCATTAACAGGGACGAATCATGAAGAGAATCAACCATGTCATTTGACACTAAAAGATGATGATGTCCCAGAAACCATAAATCTAGCAAAGTACGCTGGTCCTGAAGCAAGATTTTGTCCAGCTGGTGAGAAATCTATTGTTTATAATTGATTGTTGGGATATTAAGATTTTAAAACTAATATAATATTGATGAGATTTCTTTCTTTTCAAAATCATACTTTCAAGGTGTTTATGAATTTGTGCCTCGAGAAAGTGGTTCCGACGAACTTCGGCTGCAGATTAATGCTCAAAATTGTATTCACTGTAAAACATGTGATATAAAAGATATTACACAAAATATCAATTGGGTAGCACCCGAAGGTCAGTTTAAAATGTTTAAAATCTATCAAAATTCACTCGAAAAGTCTCTTTCCCTTGAGCTAGCAGAAAGAGCTCTTAATTTATTTATATACAATTCTATTTTTGTCATTTTAAGGTGGTGGTGGACCGAAATATGATGGAATGTAATTAATATTTCAATACGAGATTTAAAATATGACTTTCCTTATTAATTTTATTATGAAGTATGACGTGCCTTAATTTTATTTAATTCTTGCATTTTCTCTGTTTATCATTAAAAGTGATTGATTGACTGATGATCATCTTGAAATTTTGTTGGTTATTAATACTTATCCTTTTAATCTAAATAGAAAAATTGCAAGAGTCTTAATGAATGTTTATGAGTTATTGTGTGTTTTCACTCTAAATTCTTTGTATAAGCAAGATACTTGAGATTTTTACCACTTTTTTTTCACCTGTGCCTTTATTTTATGCTCAAATTTTAAGAAAATTTTTTTTTCAAATTTTTCAAATTTTAAGATTTTTTTAACGTAATTGTTTTTTCATGGAAAAAAAATATTTGTTACATTTTTTTCGGTGAACAAATTCGAAAAAAAAATTTACGAAAATCTAATTCTGTTTATTATTTATTAGATATTTTATTAAATTAATTATTCAATGGTTAGCACTCAATATTTCCGGTAACATTGGCTGGTTCCACCAGCTATTAAAATGAGGCGCCTTCGTTATAGAATCACTTAGGGAATGGTAGATGTAAAAGTTAATTCCCGGTACCACCTGAGTTTTTATGACAATTTTGTTTCTACCAGGGAGGGGCGTCCAGCCATGCCGAAAATAAGAATTCAGCATATTACCATGTCAAAAAATTTTTATATTAAAAATATATAAATTTCTTACATAAGTAATAGGAACACAATCTTACCCTATGAATGAATGAAATTTCCCAGCTTTTATGTTTAACCAATGCCGTTTATAAGAAAAAAATACAAATTACATTGAATACACAAAACAGCAAATATCACAGCCAGAAAATAGATGAATGGAGAATTACTTGGATGATGAGATCAACGAGTATCATCAGAACAGATCTATCAGAATTACATATTGTGCATCTCAATTTGCGATGAAGCTGCGACATCATTACCCTAGACTATGAACAAATGCCATCAATAATTTTAAAGCCTGGACAGCACTGAATAGTACATGGTTCAAGTACAGTTCTTTCACTGAAAATAGTAGAATTTTGCTTCAGTGAAATAAAAAGAATGGGAGTGATAATTCATATCAATCCATTCCATATTATCGATAGGTCAGAGTTAATTTTACAGAGTAGTGCTCATTTGGCCTGCACATTTGTTCTTCTTTGCAGACTTTCCCACGAGTTGAAAGAGATTCATTATTTGCATGGAAAACTAAAATCCTGGTTCTACAAAGTCTTAAATAGTTTTTGACTTAAAATTCGAGTTTTATTTTTCGCAAAATTAGTATTATAGAATTCGCAAAGAAATGCCTCAGAATTATAAAGTCGGGAAATGCTGCAACCTTTAGATAGCGCAATTTTTGTGAAAACATACCGTTTACATTTTAAGCCTCTAAATAGGGAGAGAATTCCAGTGCAACTGGACTCTTCGTATTTTTTCTTCGGGCATAAACCACTGCATGGCTTGGTATTACAAATCTCGGCCTCCATTCTAGGTCCTCTGTAATAACAGTCTTTCATTAATGTATAATGAATTTTATAAATGGGTAAATGGGTTGTATATGGGTGCGAACTGATTTGAATGAAACCTAAAATACTCTTGAAATTCGTGGAAAGGCTTTGAACTACGAAAAGCCTAACAAAAGCCATTTCATTTTTCTGAAGTGCTGGTTTTTTTGAACACAAATTTTGCTGTATAATCTTAGATATATACATATATATGTATATATAAGCCAAAGTAAGGTCTATTGCAGTATTTTAAAGAAGTGCTGATACCCATCTGCCTTTTTCATGTGACTAAAGTGATTTGTTTCATCCAAATGGTTTCGACCAAATTTTTAAAAATCGATGTCTTGTCGCTTAAGAATTTGGTTCATAAAAGAATAACTTTGTTCCTTTCGAAGGGTAAACAGAATATGATTTGCAACCATATTTAACAAGGAAAAAGAAGGAATGAAGTGGTGATGATGTTAAACTAACAGACATGCATCAGCTACACCGCAAGAGCGAGTACGTTTTCTGGTACCACAAGCGCCGCAAGGCTCCGTGCACTGCGTCCACTCCGTCCACGGTGAAAACGAGTCGAACGATGGAACAGATCGAGTTTGTGCTTGAAAACCTTTACCACTTCGGTAGAAAGAACGAAACAGCACCAGCATATCTTCCGTAGCCGAAAATATCGTCGATTTCGGAGTTCCAAAGCAACAATACCTGAATTATTATCCTCGAATGCACATTCACTTTCAAATTGTTAAATTATATAAAAGATTGTATGCCTTTATTTCAAAAATAATTGATGCCTTTTTCATGGCCAAAGCAAATGGTTTTTACCAAATTTTGCAAAATTTCTCGATTTTTCGCCAAAACTATTTTAAGGTTTTGAATTTCTTTAAAAAGAGAAGACGAATCACTTTAATTTAAAGAAATTTTTGATGGAAAAATGATCGATTAGCTGAATTTTTTTATTCCCATTGTTAATAGGGTTAAAGAATTTTATCGCAAAGCCACTTGGGGATAGAAGTGCAGGCGGCTCGACATCACCATTTTGGTTCTTTACAGGTTCACTCATGTCGAAGCCGGGAATCCAAATCGTGATGCTCGACGCAACTCGAAGCAACCACCACTCCAGTCTGCTGTCTCTGCGCTAATTAGCTAAGATTTATTTTACACGTGTTGCATGGTGCATATTGAAAGAAATCATGAGATTTCTTACCTCATTCCAGTATTTGCGAAATCTGTTGAATTTCTTATCTCAATATAATCCATGCATAGCGAATGCCGAACTTTGCAATACATTTCGAATTCTCCATAGAACTGAAACTGCACCTTTTGCCCTGGAGGAGCAACAAGAAGCCAGCTGCATTCTTGGCCTTCACGGAAATCGCTTGGATAGCCCGGGCTGGTGATTCGAGTCCAACTAGACGTCAAAAGAATTCGACCACCGCATACCGCGCCATAACCCGACATTACTTGCTCACAGTACTAAATGCCATTAATATATCACTGATAATGAGATATTATATGAGATAACGATATGAATCAAAATAATATAAGAACCATAAACATTTTGATCAAATTATTTCACCAATCAGACGAAATATATTTTAGTAAAAGGCCATATAATCAAAAAAAGCACCTGCCCAGTGAAGCCATCAGGACATCGACATCGGTCACACCTTCTTGGATCTGTATATCCACCTCTCTGGCACGGCAATTGCTTTGGGCATGCATCACTGCAGTATATTACGTTCATCAGTCGAATATCGTTGAATGAGAGTTGGTCTCTTTGCCCAATCGTCTTCTGATAATCCGCTATATTTGTGTTCAACGTGAAGAGATCTTCATACCGTCCAAATGCTTTACTCCTGAAATTACATAACAATTTGGCCTGGTTCGCTCCACTTAATGATTCTGAAGATTTCGGCAGGAATTCACGTTGAGGCGCGGATGGGCCCCATTCAAAATTCGTTTTACTAACAGATTTACTCCTATTAGGGATCAAATTTATGATTATTTATTCAAGCATTGTTTTGCGTTAATTGATTGCAGCATTATTAATGTGATTTAAAAATTACTAACCTATAATGCATAATACTCCCATAATCGTATGGCACTCCACCATTATCAACATCGACCGGTAATTCCTTTAAAAATTGTCCTTTACTGTCACGATCAATATTTTCCCAGCGAACTGTAACGAAATTGTCTCGATCAGGTCGAGATTGCTCATGCCAAAATCCAAGTGCATGTGCTACTTCATGCGCAATTACACCTAACTAAAATGATTGTTTATGGACTGAAAAGATTTTATTTTCTTAAAGAATTGACTTAGGTAATGTGAAAAAAATGGAAATTTTTAAATTTAACAATTTTAAGATTTTCTAGCTTAACTTACTCGAATACATTCCGGTGCCAATGACACAAACTGAGGATCTCCGAGTGGATGTCGTCCAACATTAGAGGCGCAACCATCAACGTCGGTGAATACGATTCGATTTCCAGTGGGTTCATCGTTGCGACGTTCAAAATTCAAACATGTTATATTATGCCAATGCTCCAAAGCTAATTCAATCACACGTTGTTCTCGCATTGCTAAAACAATTCGTTTAAAACCTTTAGTCTACAAATTTGCTGAGAGTCGATTGAAAATGCAAGAAATTGGTGATAAGAGAAAATAGACTGCATTTCACTGAGTGAATGTTATTTAGACTAATATTTCAGGCATCATGGCTCATGCTCAGCACCAACTAGTAGCAGATATGAAACCAGACTAGCGCTGGGTTAGCCCTCAGTCTCTGGCTTTCTTCTGGCTTTCTCAAGTTTCTCTAATAGCCATTGAATAAACCGAAAGTAGAAATGGTAAATGCCGTCAAAAAGAAAATTCTACTCCTAAGAGAATATTAATAAAAAAGCAACTGGAAATTACGGAATTGAAAAAATAATAAATCAAAAATTAAATTAAACTAAAATTAAATTAATATTCAGTCAAACAAAATAATAGAATCTTCCATTTTCCCCGAATATTACAGCTTGATCTTTAATTATATTTGTATTCTTTAATTATATTTAATTATATCTTTAAATCTTGGTCTTAATTAATATTCGGGAAGTAATAAGTAAATGGAGCACTGGTGGGAAATTTTCGCCAAGGATTCACAAGATGATTACAGCGCAAGTGGATCACCATCTCGTATTTTATTGACAAATTTCCCTGCCAGAGTTTCCCAGGAGCCGAACTGCTGTGTTTCAACACGATAGCAAGAAGAGTAAGGAAAAAAAAGACCATTTTAAATTATTTTTTAAAAGTTGAGAAAAATCGAGGAGATCTTAGAGGAATATATTTTTTTAAGAAAATTTATGCATTAAAATAGCTATAACTATAATGTACTATGTGATCCATCGAAACTATAAATTATCGGTTTGTGTGGATCCCATCGACGCAACCCGGATCGAATGAATTTCCGCTTCGTTCGACGTCCGTGTTGCACCACTCGCTCATATAAAGTTTTCGCCTGTTCTTCGTCCAAAACAATATCCCCTAAATTTCATACTTTTTAAATTTAATTTTCCAACATATTAAATAAATAAATATTAAACTCTAATTTATTCAGTAAAATGACAAATTTATGGTAAAATTAATGCTCAACGAACGATTCAGTTTCATAGTTCTGCTATGATCGACGATGTAGAAGTATTAACAAGTTTTTCTATTTTTCTTGTCTATGCCATACTTTATGTGCTCGGTTAGCGGATAGAATTTTATATGATTGCATCCTTCGCTCAAATATCATTAACAATATCGTCACAGAGAGCCGTCTAGGCTGATTCGATAGTGAATCAAAAATGAGAAGCATAAAGACCTTGTCTGATAAATTTAGAAGAAATTTTATCGGTGGCCCAGCAATATATGGGCTTAAACGGTGGAAAAAAGAATGTTTATTCTCAGCTTTGGCATCGATCGAGCGCCTTAGCCTTGCAGCAAGAAGAATAGCCAGCAATAAAAGATTTTAGAAAAAAAAGCTAATCAAACCAGAAATGGCACGCATTTAGAAAAATAAAACGGCGAAAAAACCAAAATGGCTGAGAACAACAAATAATTTTAGAAACGAACTAAAAGGTAAAAAATCAACTGATTATTGAAATTTTGGTTTTCTTTTATCATATCTGTAAAATAGACGTGAGATTTTTTCAACTATTTTTCAGCGATATTCAATCCTTTTATGATTTTAATGAAGGGCTATAATTGCTGAATTTAATTACTCTTTAGTGACCCGTTTTTTAACCTATATAACATTATATATTGTGTTGTTTAATTTCTTTCTGTTTTCTGCAATAAATAGCCCATAGTCATTCCACACCTAATTCACCAAAACCAGTTTGATTAGCTTAGTTGATCATTGGAGTGATAAAGTTTGGGCCAGAATATTGCTTGAGGAACGAAATCTAAGGCATCGAATATTGACGAATATTGAATTTCACTTTTAATAATAGATTTATTTCCTGTCATATAGCCAGAAATCCATTCTGCTTGAGCGCAGCCAAAGCAAGTAAAATGTCGACCATTCTGCCATCCAGTTATTTTGCGAATGCTTTATATGATTGAAATTTTTTTTTAAATTAGAAATTAAATTAAATTAGAAAGCAATAACTGTTTCTTATAACAAGCAACCAGTCATGTTTTTAAAGCATTCAACACGCATAATTTTAAATAATTTTTATTTCTGATTTCAATAGGATTTTTTTCTTTTAAAGCCCTCATTATTACTGGTTAGACTCGCTCTACTGGCTTATCGCATTGGGCAAATATACAAGGGAGTCCTTGGCGGTAGAGGTGATATAGGTGAGACGCCATCCGGATTTTCGGACCGGTTTACTCCTGCGAGGAATGGGACTAGCACTGGCGAATTAAACAATAACCCACTGAGCCATTTTACTCCTTATTTCGATAGGACTGCTTTTATTATTATATATTTTATTATTAAATACTGAAAGATTTACAATTGTTTATGATCCGAAAAATTTGGAAAAATATACAATGAATTTAACCATAATAGTTTAGAAGCAAAAATTTTCTCGAATAAATTTTATTTTTGATGGAATTAAAGAGAACAAATAGGAGCGAAAAACCTTCGAAAAAATGGCCGTCTTGTTCCGGATTAATGCTTTCCTCAACATGATCACTATGCCTTCTTGAAAAACTTGCAATTTCACGTGACAGCTGAAATTTGCTTGCAAATTACGAGTTATTTTTTCGGCATCAATATTAAAAAAAAATTTAAATATTGCAAAAAGATAAATTAATAAAATAAGAATTAAAACAATAAAAATTATTACATTGAAAATATTTTAAAAATATCTACGAATTTTTATTTTTTTAAAATTAAAATTAAATTAAAATTTAAATATATTGGCAATAGAATTATAATAAGGAAAAAACTTTTAATATTATTAGTAAAACTATATTAGAAATTAATAAACTTGAAATTAATTAGATTTACAAAAATTAATAAATTCAAAATTGAATTTGTAAAATAAAACTAAAAATAGCCAAATTTTTTAAAAATATTGCAAATGTGAAATTGAATAAAAGAATCAAAACAAGTGAATTCGACCGAGTGACTTTCAAATTTTGAGACAAAATAATTATTAATGATATGTTATCATAATTTATCGAAAAAACTGTTTTTAGATCAAAAAAGAGTACCATATGCAAAGTGCCTAAAGGTATATTAACTAATTAATTAATATACCTTTATTATTAATTAATTAGTGTTAATTTTGGGCAATAACGGAAATGTTGCCTTTTACAAAATTTTTATAAACTAAAATATATTATTTCCATAAATTGAAATAGAAAAAACATCCCTTGTGTTGTAAGCAATAATTATTGCATTGTATTTGAAAAATTTTGCAAATCAAGGTCCTAATTGATAAATATAATCAGTAGAAGATTTTGATTGTATGGGCAGCTTAACGATATGTAGGACTTAGGCAACAAGGGAAGCAAAAAGAGATTAGTCGATTTCAAATTTCGGATCTTCTAATCGTTTTAATCACTAATGACATCGTTATAATGAAAACAATAAATAATCGCTAAAGGTTAACAAAACCTGACACTGAAAAAATACCAAGATTGGTTCCCCAGTTTTTCTTCTATCCAACTTTTTTTCTGACTTAAACATTCCTCAGAATTTCATGCAGATTTGCTTCCATTAATATACGGCAAATATTAAAGCATTCAATTATAGAACAATTACATGATTTATAGTGGATTTTTTATGGACAATAACTTGCGAAATTAGATTTTTAAAAAATTTTATTTGTATATTTTTATCTAAATGATTTATTTTCACATGGTTGTGACAAGAACGAGGAACGATGGCCCAGTGGTACTTTTCGTTCGACTGGAATCGAGTGTAATAGGTTCGATTTCTATCTCCACTGTCATTTAAGTTAAATGCATGGCAGCGAAAAGAAGTTTTTTGCGAAAATTCCCACACCTCGCACGGGAAATTGGCGTTTCCCATTGAAATTACACCTAAATAAAATTTTATTCGCCCATTTCGATTTATTCTTATAATTTTCAACCAACGTTTTTTGTGAGAAATATTAATTGTATTGAAAGCAATTGTAATAATAAATGTAAATTGATTTTTCAGCGATAATAATTCAAGTTTTCATATCCGAAAACCTGTAAATTATTTCGCATTCAGTGATTCAGTGAGAGAGCAAATATATGATAGCGAAAAATTTATTGAATCTCCTTTTTTTTCTTTTCCTTGATTTTATTCTTTTTATCAGAATTTTTGGCAAAAAAATTGCATTTTGTAAGCTGATTAAGCTGATTGCATCAATGCATTTGGTTCGACATTTGCGAGAATAAATGAGAAATTTTGAGAAATATTCGAAAATCGGGAAAAAAGTGATAATTTTAAGGATGTGGAAAAAAAAATTTTGCAAAATAAATATGAATCGCCGCTTTTTTTCGGAAGAAAAATTCATATAAATTTTGTAAGAATCAAAAAGATTTTTGATGAAAAGTGTGTGGCATTTAAGAAGACGAGTTTTTTTTGTCGTTATTTGTTCCCCTCGAATTCTTCGCCGCCGCCATCGTCTGTCGATTTGTCAACGAAAAATTTCGATAAGAAATTTGTAATCCACTCGCATTGCCCTATGGAAGGCTTTAAAGTCGTTCAACACTAGAATATAGAAATAACACAAGGAAGTTTCTTTTCTTTGAAATTATGAGCCTCCAACGACGAAGAGACAGCGTGGCCGAATCGTATGCTAATTGTTAATTGAAGCATCGGTTCGGTTCGGTTTGATGCGAATAAAGTGGCCAAGTGAATGGCTGATGCTGAGGACCAAACATGTGTTTCTTAAGCAATTCGAAATGGTATTTCTGCTTATTTAAAAAGAATTTCCGAAATAGTAATTTATTTTTTTTTGTGTTTTTAGATTATTTTCTTGTATATAAGATTTTAAAATTTTAAAATTTAAATTTAAAAATTTAAAAATAATTTTAAAATTTTTTTTCGAAATTTTTATATGTTTTTATAACGAAATCTTTCTTTTTCAAAACTTAAATTCAAAAATTATTGGCAAAAATGCTAAATATTTTCATTTTTGAAGTATTTATATATTTAATTAACTATATTTTTTTGTTTTAAATTTAGTAAATAGTAAATTTTGAAAAACTTAAAAAATATTTTAAGTTTTTTGACTTTTTAATTTGCTTTCAATTTCGAAAAATTATTTTGTAATTTAATAAATTAATTGATAAATTTAATAAATCATTAGAAAAAGCTTAATGAAACATTTATAAAATTCTCTAATCGATGAATTATCGAACAATTATCGAATTCGAACCGGAATTTAACTTGGAAATTCCCTAAAAATTCCGTAGTCGTAAAAGAAAAATCTCCTAAAAAGCGAAAAATATGAAATTTATCCTCGCATTAAATCATTGAACTTTCTCATAACTCATGCAAAAAGTAAATATTTCGAAAATGAACTTCTTTTCAACTATGTTTTTTGACGACCTTGAACACCGAAAACATTTTTTTCACTTTCACTTATTTCTTTTCATTAAATCTTTTGCAACAAAAGAATTTTTTAAAAAAACTTACAAAATTTACTTTATGTGATAAATATTTTAAAATAATTTAAGTGATAAATGATAAGCGATGATAGGAGTAATAGAAATACTGATCCTCAAGCTTCATTCCCATTTGCTTTTTAATGATAACATTCAGTGATAAAACGCATCAATGCCAGTAGGTCGAACAAAGAATTATAAGAGAAAACAAATTCTATTAATTTTTGAGGACCAAATTTTTGAATATTTCTCAATTTTGAATTCGAAATTTTAGCTTATCTTGAAAATAGATAATCGATTATATTAAGCGATCATAACTTTTCCAAATAATTTTACTCATGAGCAAAATTGAAACCTTAGCGCCCCCTTAGAAATGAATAATTTTGATTTTGATCGGAATGATGACCTATCTGTACTTCTGTACATCTGGAGAAGAGGTTTCAAGAAAAACCAGAGAAGCATGAAAATTATATATAGTATATAGTATTAAAGAATGTTGATGACTTTGGTGATTAATATTAACGATGGTATACCAGAGTTAAGCCAGTGACATCTGCTAAATTCCACTTGGTACCAAATCCGCGACAGGTCCTATATTATAGCTTTTTTCATTTCATTAATATCATGTGGAATATACTTATACAAGAAATTAAATTTTGATAGCAACAATTTTAAGCACGTTCATGAACACTTGGTCGTCTGGACCGGTTCTTCAATTGGATCTTAATGGCCAATTAAATCATTCTCAACTGGATTGACATTTCAACTGTTCTTCTCGCCTCACATCAGCTTTTTTTATAACTTCTCTTTGCTAACCGTCAGAAATTTTAGGAATTATTTCCTAATTATTTGATGCATTCTATGTAATAAAGAAAAGCTCATAAAGAGCTCATATTGAGCTCATTACTTCGTTGATTATGCAGTTATCGTAAATATAAAAAGATGCTG